CAATAAACATAGATCACTTGTCAAAATATCAATAATCTTTAATCGAAGAACTAATTAATCATCTTTAACGAGAATTGAACTTATACATAATGTGAAGGAAATTTTATACTAGTAAAAGGAATCGATCATGTTCAACACTCAAACTAATTAATCTCAATCCAATTCCAAATTAAATGTATATAAAAAAAGCACATGAGGAAGAAAACTCAAGAGTAGATTAAACTGATTAATAAATAGGGGTCGAAGACCGATTAAGATTTAATCGAGGGGAAGCGATATGTTTGATGGCCGATCAAACTCGATAAATTAGCAAAAAGGCAATGAACAAATCACAAAAGGTTGACCATAGACACACAAAATAGCATAAATTCATAAAGAAATTTCCATGAAATTCGAAAAACAAAAGGAAGTTAGAAAGAAAAGAAAGAGAGACGAATGAAAAAGACCATGAATATGACTAATCATAGATGGGGACAAAAGCTTCRTCTTCTCGATGAGATTTTCATATGGTCTAAAAGAGCTTTTATTCGTGAAAACAAAAGGACGAAGGAGAAAAAATTAGGGTTTTTTTCCCAAGAGGAGAAGGACTTTTCAGAGGGAAGGTAATTTCAAGTTTATGTCAAAAGAGGAAAAATAATGGAAAGTAGTTATTTGTATCTATTTAGTGATCAATCCGCTAGTTTCTTTGATCCCACTCGATTTTTAAACAGGTTTCTTTTGAAGTGGATACTTGAATCGAACCATCTTCTTTCTCAATCCACCTCTTAATGTAGACAACCATCTTACCTAATGGGCCAGCGGGCGGAACGAGAAGAGGGCCCGACAATCATACCACCACGATCGTTTCTGATTTCGATTTATACGTTTGGAGAAACCTTTTAAGCCTGCCTTTCTTATACACATGACACGAGTGATGTGTGAAGTTGAAGCAGACACAGTTAAAATAAAGAATGTTTCTCGAACTTAGGTACGGGCGTAAGACAAACAGAAGAGTTTTTGTAAGAAACAATAACAATAACATCGTCTGTTGTATTGTTTTAGTGATAGCGGCTACAAATTACCATTTATTTTCTTCAAAAGAGGCGCATTTTTCTTAAAACTATCTCCTTTTTAGTAAGTCATCATCTTAACGAAAGTTTAACTGTCTCGTTATTATTATTGATAAACCATGGAGGTTCGTTGACCTAAACAATAAACGTATATCACCTTATCATAACATTCAATCATTAGTTCGAATTTCCGCTCCAATTATGTCAGCAACAAAAACAAAAAAGAAGAGAAAAAAAAAATAAAGAAAAAGGAGGGAACATCACAATCAGCATCATATGCGTATGCTTTCCAACATTAAAACAAATCCCGCTCCGCTTGGCGCTTACGTGTATATTCCCCTCATTATTATTCCCTAAATAAAGTCATCATCAATCTTTTTCATTCTTTTATTTTCCACATTATATAATTCCATCAACCAATTTCTTTTATTCTACCCTCTTTTTAATTCATTAAATTTACCATCAAATTTATATAAGTAGAAAAATTATGAAGATGTGAAATTGTCTCGATTTTCAATTTAGTCTTTCATCGTTTTAGACTCTGATCTACATGTATCTCAACAATAAATGACAGTAAAAAATGGTTTTTCCACTCAAGTTGAAGGTTCAATCGAACCGTCATCTTAAGAAAAAACTTGCTAACATAAAATCTATGAGTTTTTTCATTAATATATTTAGATGTAAGGTAAGTCGAATTTTGCAAGTTTGATGGATTTGATTTCGTGTAACAAATAACATCTAAGTGACATGTTCATGTATTAAATAGGTTAACGAAATTTATACCGAAGTATGAGCCTGATAAATTAGCTATTTTGTATACTTTACCTATTAGTTTTGTTTTTTCTTTTTTATTATTAATTGATTTGATTAATTTTCTAAGTTAATTATAATTATGTATTTTATTCAAGTTTGGGATTTAAAATTAGATTCATGAGTCATGTGGATGCTTTTTTTTATTATTATTATTTATCCTTGTAAGTATGTTCCATATTACTAATAATTGGATATTTAATTTATTTTATTTGCATGATTGCAACAACTTTTGTAAAACTAACCTTAGAATCTATGATAATTCAAACATTAGAAGGGCATAAAGTTAACAAAACGGAGAGGGGTAATTGATGAATCTTAAAAAAAAAAAAAAGAATAAAGAAATTTGAGTATTTATTCTCAATAATATAAGGTGGGAGGTTCCAAGTATTATAAAAAGCGTTTCATGGCTTTATTTTTTACTCGTCTCAATCAGAAATATTTTTACGCCCTAATGTAATTATTCTAGTTAAATCTTCTTATTGTATTTTCTTGTTCAAGAGTGAGGAGGAAGTTGAGTAGTATAAAATCGATAGAGTGTTTTTTGTAATATCAAAATTTCACATAAGAGTTTATTTTTAGTGGGTAACGATTTTTTTTGTTTCTGAAATTTTCAAGGTAAATTCTTATGTTCTTTATTGTTGTTGTTTTATTTTAAATTATTAGTTATTTTTCTGCCTTGAAGAGGTTTTTTTCCACAAATAATTAATAAAAGAAATTAGCTATAACCCTTATTTATTTGTTTGCAAAACTTAAGACCTAACTTTTAAAAGAGTGGAAAAACAATTTTTAACATGTTTTTTTACCACAAAAATAAATAAACAAAATAATAAGAAGAATATATATTGTATTTTTCTTTTTCCTTTCTTTCTTTTTTTCATTTTAAAATTTATCTTTTTATTGTAATCTTAGGGTCCCTTTCAATATTTTATACGAAATTGATGGTATCGATGACTTTAATTGACATGATGAATTATACTAAGTTTTTAATTTTGGAAAAGCTCAAACTAATTTAGAAGTATGTATGTATGTGTATATAATAATAATAATAATAATAATAATAATAATAATAATAATAAATTTATTTATTTATATAAAAAAGGTATAAATTAAATAAGGGCAATGCTTGACTTGGAAGTGATTATTAAAATTTCAAAATTTTATGTTTATGACTTTTTGTATTTCATATGTTGAAAGTGCTTTTAACTTTTTATATAAAGCATTTGGGTTTGACTACAATTCAAAGAAGTAATTATTATTATTTTTAAATCAAAGAAGTAATAATGAGATATTTTTAGCTCAAATACTTTTTGTTCTTTTTATTTAATGTTTATGAAAAATATCGACAAATATCTTTTACCAAGCATCATTAAATTTTTGACAAATAGAACAGAGAAATGTGAAAAAATAAATATCTTCTTTCTATTTTTGAAAGACTAAAAATCTGTCAAATTTTTATTAATGGAGCTAATAGGTAAGTATCTAAATATTGTTTATTTTGTTATCGGACTTTATTTTTACAATCACTACGACCACTCTCTCTCACCAACTTTTCTCTCTCGCTCTTAATTATCTATTAATTAATTATCAATCGCACCTCCCAACTATATGAAAGTATCTAAAATTCATGATGGATAAATTATTTTTGTTGATTAGGCAATTATTTGCTAAGCTCTAATTAACACATGGAATGTTTAAAGTCTATGATAAAATGGTTGAAACGTTTTAAATATTCTTAGAAGTAACTAAAATTGCTTTATTTTCTTTATCTCACATGTCATAACACATTCTTTCTTTCGAAAATTGACGTATCGACCTCTCTTACTAATGTCTTACTACTACTATTCCGTTGCTCTTTACCTCATCTAATTTATTTATTGATTAATTTAATCGCTGTACTTAATTGTCAGTTATAATTCTATTTTAATCTTTGTTCTTTTTAACATCTAAATTTAGTTTCCATACTATTAGTAATTATGGAAACTAAAATCGAAGCAATTTCTAGGTTCAATCAAGTGAGAAGGTACCGAATCGAGAACACGAAGGGAGAAAAGAAAATCGAAAACTACTCACAGAGAGATAACGGTTAGAAAAATCAATCCACCATAGACGGAAACCATGAAAAAAATTAAGAGATTGGATTGGTGAGGAAGAGAAAGAAGAATTATTTTTAACATTGAAATTTACACTCCCTACCCCGTGTGTCACCAAAATTTGAGAGACAAACAGAAACTAAATCGTTACCAATTTGAAACAATTTGAAAGTACAATAATTAACCATAAATTTGGTGTGATCCTAATAAATCTAAGGTTATTGTGTTAGTTATAAGTTTTTATTTATTTATTAAATAATATGTTTAATAAATGTTTCTGGAATGGACTATAATGAAAACAGTTAAAATTGAAGAAAAATGAAAGGCTGCGATATACCAACATGAACTTAACTATAATCGACACCTGTCTCTTACTAAGAGATTATGAGTACGAATTCCCCACCCAACTTGTTCTACTAAAAAGAATAAAAGGTTGAAACACTGTGGTCCCTATATTTTAAGATTCTTCCAGCATTCTCTAGCTTAACTAGATCAAGAAAATCACCTTTATAAGCTTTATTTGAAGATTTTGGTTCTTGAAATTTTTGCAAGCTTCCAACCAAAAGCTTGAAAAATGCAGGCCGAACGATGCCATGGTGGAGCTGTTATGGCATTACCGGATAATATTTTAATTTGTCCACATAGATCATAGCTAGCATCCACGGTAGATTTCTATTAAATCTTAATACAATCTTTATGGATAGGACACAATCACTGTTTCTTGAAGTATAGAGACTACATCGTACTTTTTGAAAGTTCAAAGACTAAATCGTTCATTTTTAGTTCTTTATACGATTTAATACAAGTAAAGAGAATAAAATTACTTCCACTCAAACCCATCCTAATTACAACTTGGTCTCCACAGTTTCAAGTCATTAATCTTTTGTTTCAATGTTTTAATGTAAATCTTAAAAAATGAAACTAACACCTTTCAAATAGGAACCCTATTCTATGACATTGGCTGTAAATTATTCCCATTGCACATGTCATCCTAATGTATAAGCTTGACATTGGAATCAATTACCTACCTTAGCAAAGTACCAAAATATTAGGTTCTGAAGCACTGTTTTATATTCTAAAGAGTTAATACAGACTTCAATCTCAATCAGTACTCAGACATTGACTTAGTGACTACCAAACTATGCTGATGAAAGCTTTAGAGTACACATCATAAAGACATAAAGCATGGTGGCCAGGAGAGGTTCTTACCAGGTATCTACCTTTGGGGCGGGTGCAATTTGAAGCCTTTCATCGGAACACCCTGCTCGCCCCCTCTGGAAACTCTCTTCTGCTAGCAGGGACTTCAGGTCGTTACTGTTCAACTAGTTCAATTACTGCCTTCAATGGCATCGATGGATATCGCTGTTGACAAAACATCACCAACCTCTTTACGAGCGTCAAATATTTAATACAGATTTCAATCTCAAACAGTACTCAGAAATTGACCAATTGAGTACCAAACTATGCTTATGAAGCTTTACATTACATATCAAAACGATGTAAAGAATAGTGGCCAGGAGAGGATATTCTTACTAGTTAGCTAGCTATCTTCTGGGGCAGCCATGATTCTTAGCCTTTCTTCGGAAGCCTGCTTGCCTCCTCCAGAAACTCTTTCTTCTGCTAGCAGGGACTGCAGGTCACTACCGTTGGCCAAGCTGTTAAATTCGACTGCCTTGGACGGCATTGTTGGATAGCGTCGTTGACAAAACGTCATCAATCTCTTAATTGATTGCAAGTATTTTCTTGTTGTCTCGTCGTTCATGATATGGGCCACACTGTTGGTGTAAATCTTCTCACGAGCTGAACGTTCATGAATACCAACCATAGTGACACCAATAGGCCAGGGGGCATTTCCAATAGCCATCTTAATGTATTGATCCATTGCCGCTAGATAGTCTCGCTTCATGCAGCACTCGACAACCACCACCAGTGCTTGTCGAATATCATCAGGAAGAACCTGAAAGAAACTTTTAAAAATACATCAGCGAAAATTATTTTCTGAAAAGGGAACCTAATATAATTGTATGTTATGATGCAGTGGTTACACTATCTCTTCAACATCCTAAACTAAATGTCAGTGGTTCAAGCTTGGGCATGGTATTCCAATTTTCTGAAAAAGAAAAGGAAAACATGGTACTCTGTAGATTTCAGCAAACCCATAACCACAATTTTCTATAAATTTAATCTAAGAGCGTAATTGCCATGCAAGCCACAAGGAGTACTAGCCTCAGATAAATAATTAAAAATAAAAAATTGCTCTTTGAAGTATATGTATGTCACAAAATATAACATTTGTAAACTGATGTAAGAGTGTGTACTCTATGAATACAAAGTAAAAAGTAAATAAACAAAAAAACAAAAGAGTGAAAAAGGTAATGTAGATCTAAAAAGGAAAGTTAGGGAATGACAATTAAATGTCATAAGATGAAAAAGGTACTTTGATGGAATTAATTAGATGAAAACAAAATTATAATGCACACTCCTGAGCCATCCTTAGAGGTACCAGCTAAGCTAGCCATGTGGCGTGATTGATATTAACAATGTCAGCCTGCTAACTCTAAATGCTTAGCATTCTCCAGTGGTTTTATAGTTCCAATGTATGACTAATCTGCTGACAATTAGGCGGGGGCAGTCACCTTCAGACAGGTGGTTAAAGGCTACGGGCCTAGCTGAAAAGGCCATTAGGTCAAAAGTTAACAATTCTGACCTGCTAACACCCAATGCTTAGCGTTCTCCAGTGGGGTTATAGTTCCAAAGTATGACTCATCGGCTGGTGATTAGGTGGGGGCAATTACCTTCACTTTTTTTAGATAAAGAGGGCAGTTACCTTCACACAGGTGGTTAAAGGCTAAGGGCCTAACTGAAAAGGCCATTAGGCCAAAAGTTAACTCTTCGGCCTTGCTAATAACAAAAGTAGCTAAAAGGAAAGGCAAAAGTTGACTTTTTTGTTACAAGTTTTTGGGTACTCTGGTTGTTAGCCTCAGTGCATTGATGATTGGTTGGATGAAGCTCTTCAAGGTTGACACCTAAGTGGAAAGGCAAAAATCCTTTGGAACGGTGTGGCTAGAGCTCTCCTTTGCAATATTTGGTTGGAGAGAAACTATAGAATTTTTTAAGACAAGCCTTCCTCTTTTGATCTTTTTTGTAATACTGTTCAGCTACACACTTATTTGTGGTGCCATAGGCATAGAAAATTATTTTCTAATTACAGTCTGAGCCTCTCAATAATTATGCAAGATTGGAGAGCTATTCTTTAGTAGTTTCTTGGGAGGGGGTTATTTCTTTCCCGGCTGTTCTTGTTCTTACAAAAGGTTTCTTATCCAAAAAATAATAATAATAAAAACAAAAATAGCCATCAGCCAACTATCTAACCAGCTAAAAGTAGTACTACAGTGCAATTGTTAACAAGCTGACAGAGAAATGAAGTAACGAGAGGTAAGTGACCAAAATATATTGAATAGCTCTACAGCAGGTCCCAGCAAAATAAAAAACAGCAATAAATCCTTCTTTCTATAACACGATCAAAGAATTCTTTGGGATGGAGCTAAAAACAAAGTTAAACTTCCCCTCTTTGGGAACTTGGTATCTGTTGTATATAGCTAAAGTTTACTAAGGGATTCCATAACTAAAAAAAGGTTTGATGAAGGAAAGTAACAGTGGCTAAATTTGATACCATCAATCATGGTTTTTAACTCCTCCTCTACACACTTCTAAAGACTGTTGGTGATTTATTTCTAATTAAAAAACTTAATCTCCAATAGGATCAAAGTCAAAATTGGAATGGCATATCCACAAGCTTTTGGAATGATTTTTGGATGGGTAATGGTCCCCTTTCAATCACTTCCCCAAGATATCCTCTCTCTCCAATTGGAAAACCGCTTTTTCGCGAGTATCCAGTATCCTTCTCCAATTGGATAACCGCTTCTACCAAAGACATTTGGAACCCCTCTACTCAAAATTGGGACCCCGGTTTTAGAATAAGTTTTTGGATGATGAAATCAAACAATTTTTTGTTTATAATAAACAAAGATTCATTCCAAAAGAAAAGGAGTCCAAAAAAGAGGCATACAACCTAGGGACGAAGGGTCGAGAAGACCCTCCCCCAATAAACTAAGATACTATACAATCAAGGAATTCCAACTCTGAAGAGTCAAAAGAAAACCATAGTTACAAAAAGCCTTCTTGTGGATTGAAGCCGACCAAGAAGCCGTATGCCTAATATTCACACAAAATTCTTCAATAGAGCTCTGTTTCTCTGGAAAAATTCTGTTGTTCCGTTCCTTCCAAATCAGCCAAAGAAGAGCTCTCGCGCCACAATTCCACAAGATGAAAGATTTTCCTTTTAACAAGGATCCTCCAAGGCCTTCTTCTATAAAATCATCTATTTTCCTTGGTAAGCAGAGGGCCAAGTCTAGATAAGATGTCAGGTAGTTCCATGCTTTTGCTGCAAAGGGACAATGTAAAAAGAGGTGATCCACCGTTTCTGTGTTCTTGAGACACATCCCGCACACAGAGGAAGAGAGGGTCCACTGAGGTAGTTTCCTTTGAACTTTTTCAGCAGTGTTTGTGCCCCTATAGAAGAGAGTCCAGAGGAAAACTTTAACTTTCTTTGGAACCCTAAAATTCCAGATTAGAGAAGCAGTGGCTGCATTTAACTTAGGAGAGGAGGAGGTGAGAGCCATTAAGGCCGATTTCACTGTAAAAACTCCTTTATTATCAGCAGTCCAGCACAAGGAATCATTCTCAAATCCTAAGACCAGCCCTTCAATTTTCCCGATGAACATTGCCCATCTATCAATTTCTCTGTCAAATAGGTTCCTCCTTAAACCAAGGTCCCATGTCAAGACCTCTSTGTTCCAACAATTTGCTATAGAAAAATTCTTCTTAGTTGAGATAKCATAGAATTCTGGGAAAGTAACCGAAAGAGGGAGAGAGTCTGTCCAATTATCTTCCCAAAATCTAACAGAAATCCCCGAAGAAACTTTGTACATAATAAATCTGCTGAAATTTGGAGTTGTTCTTTGAACATCAATCCAAGGTCTGCCTATTGAAGAATTTTTTGAGGGCTTGGACCACCATCCAAAAGGCTCTTCATCATAAATGGCAGCAATGACCTTCCTCCAAAGATTGTTCTTTTCATTCGCAAAGCGCCACACCCATTTCATCAAGAGGGCAGTGTTTTTGTGTGCTAGCGACCCAACTCCCATTCCTCCCTGTTGATAAGGCAGCGCAGTCCAAGACCATTTAACTAGATTCCCAATCGGCCTATGTTTCCCTCCGTTCCAAATAAAATCCCTCGTAAGCTTTTCCATTGCATCTATCACAGTCTTTGGAGCTCTAAGGATGGAGAAGAAATAATTTGGAATACTATTCAAAACCGCCTGCGTCAAAGTAAGCCGAACTTGCTCTCCAACTTCTCCTTATTGTTCTTCCAGTAAATGAATTCTGCTGTCTGAAAATACAGGGGGTGTCTTTTCTTGCAACTCCTTAGTCAAGGGTATTGTGAACAAAGGATTCTTAAATAACTAACTCTTTCCAAGGTAATAAGACAGTTCAAATATCCATAGAAAGTTAAACTTTCCTTCTGGGAGCTCTCTCATGAGCCATGAGAATGTCAAAACCCATGAAATTAAAAAAAAAAAAGGCTCCAAATTGGTCCCCCTTCCAAAGTTGGTACTATGTGGAAGGAAGGTGTAGAATCCCAAAACCATCTCTTCCTCGAGTTCAATTTGCTGAGAAACTATGGAATTACATGCACATGAACTTCAAGCGGCAGGTAGTTCTCCCCCTTAACGTTAACAACCTACTCTCTTTGGTGCTTGATAGTCATCGTTTCAAACAATAGAGAAAGATCTTCAGAAGCAGTTTAAAATAGCTTTCTTTCATTATCATGGCTTTAGATAATAATTCTTCAGAAACAAAAAAAAAGTCTTCAACAAAACTAGAGTAGTTATCTCTCTAGTTTGTGAATACTCTGTCTTGAGTAACAACAACAACAAAAATCTTCAGCAATATTTTGGGTACTCTTATTTTTATTTGCCGTAAGGTCTGGGCTACTTTTAACTCTTCCATTTAAGTACTCTTGGTGGCACTTGGAAGAGCTATTTGTAATCTTCTTCGACTCGGGCCTAACTTACCTCCCCTATTAAGTCATTTCATTGTTTTTAATTAATTTTTTTTCTAACCCAGATACAAAAGAACAGAATTGAAGAATTTAGTAAGAATAAAAAGGATGGGAAAACATGCCTGGAAACTTAAGGTGAATATCATAAAGGAAATTACACCACGTTGCATAAGAAAAGCCTGACTGTATAAAACTCTAGCAAGAAAAATATAATTTTTGTTTCAGAAGTTGCCAACCCACCTGTTATTCTTAACTATTGCCTATCCATTAAGAAAACATGAGAATGATTGAATTACGAAGAGCCTGAAATGCAAACTCGGTCAATGAATTTAAGATGAATCATGGACATGCTTATCTTATGTAGCTATCATTAACAAAACACAAAATTTTCATCCCCACAGTCTGATTAAGCCATAAACGTCACTTTATAAATCTACATGTTCGCAGGGGAACCTTTTCAGTAGTGCACTCGCAAAGCAAACGAGATAAGAAAGACAGAGAAGCTCTGATTCTTCTCAAATCCATCATGAAGTCTAAAGATAACATAATGCAGAATCACCAGGAAAAATGGAACATTCAAAAACTCCAATATGTAACTATAAGGGCAGAATCGTACCTTCTTCCTACAAAACTTGAACAGAGGATGCAAATAACGAGCACACTGCTTGAATGTTGCTACCATAGACTTCCCTTTAGCCGTCCGCTTCTCTGCTTCAGGCATTTCATTCAACTCCTGGTTCCACTCATTCAACAACCTCTTGAAAAACACCAATATCTTATCTTCCTCACATAAGTCATCGAAATTCGCCTTCATTCTCTTCAAATCCTTGTCAGCGTCGACCCCACTCGACCCTCCATCGGCACTTTCTTCGTCAGCCCCACCCCCTTCTCCCTCTTCCACCGCACCATCCTCCTTCTTCTGCCTCTTCCTGTCGCTCAAAATCCCCGTCTTCTGGCGCTTCCTCAACTCCGCAATATCCCGAAGAAAGTCGTTAG